CTCTGACAAAATCTTGGCAAGAAAGTCCCATGATAGGTGCGCCTCATCATAAATCAGAAATGACTTGAAGACACACAACAGATATGCTCTAAAAAACCTCTTTAAGGTGTCAGAGCACAAATGGAAATCTCACCCAGTATGATCATGCAGGGTGAGGAATAGTTCAAAATTATATTAATCTGGTTTGCTGTAAGCCACATCCTTCACATAGTGTACCACAGTTTGCCAGAGAGAGATTGAGAATCAATATCTTCAGTTAAAGAGAAGCGGAAGAGTTTTTATCTACTATTGGAAGAAGGGAAGTGACTCAGTGTACTAGGGATGGAAAATGCTGGCGGAGGGAAAATGGTCTAAAGAGACTGAACAATGAGCGCCAACAAACTGGAGGGGCAGGAGGAAGAAATGTTTGAGGACTACGTACTGGCTCAGTTCACTAGGGTTCCCAAGTCTCTGGATCTGGTTCTTCTTCTCCAATCCTTAGTGCAAGTGGGGAGGAATGCTAGGGCAAGAGTGCTGTCTTGAAAACGGGTATAGATTTAGTATCCTTATTTGTTAGACTTCATAGTTTTTATTCGAATAGCATACTCTCGGTGTTCGTGGCTGATGCTTAATGGGCCTTGCTGAATTGTGTCACCACAGGCTGCATTTTGTAACATCTCCGGAGATCATCATTGAGGACGTTTTCACACGGGGTCTGAAGCAGACAGAACCCCGTCCCATTGCGGACTTTTTTTCTGTGTGTTCACATGACGTCGCAGAAAACCCCGCCCCATCTCGTCCCATCCCCGTCCCATTGCGGATCCTTTTCCCGTGTGTTCACACGACATCGCAGAAAACCCCGCCCCATCCCGTCCCATTGCGGCATCATCCCCGTTCTTTTGAATGCTGCTTTCATTTGGGAATTACATTTTGCCGCGACCAGAATCATACCAGAATGATGCTGCTTTCTTGTCTGAAGCAATGGGGTCTATACCGGTATAGTTCTGGATTGATTCCATGCCACTTTCTTGCCGCATTGAGACCCCGCGTGTGAAAACGTCCTAAGTCTCAGTCTCTGGCACTGA